TATCGAGGGCTGTCGATTCTTCATCTGTTTATAGGAAAAAACATCGCTCCATTGTCACTATCTTGACCCAAAACCTACCATTTGAACGTTCGCGCCCTTCGCAAACATTTCCTTCCCCTCCCCTACCCCGGGAGTTGTGCATACGGGCCTTCCTCTCCCTCCCCTACCCCGGGCGTTATGCATACGGGCCAATGTGTTGCATGTAACCCGAGTTCTCACTGGGGCGCGGTGTTTGCATTAGAGCGCGGGCGGCTTTCTCTTTAGACTTCGGAATTTGAACAATGGGTCACTGAATCTTCAATTATCTTCATTAATGGATTGATTCTCTGTCCCACCTCCTTCACGATGGCCATCTGCTCATTCCTCTTTCTCCACCTATTTCGTATCCCACACTGGAACGCTTCGCTTATCATTTATTTCTGTACTGCCAATATTCTTAGTTGTATTTGTATCAAAATGGGAACTAAAGCTATTAAAAAAAAGAATAACCCGGTCAATTGAAAGTTAGGGAATAGTGCGAATAAAAATAATAAGAAACTCTCAAGTAATTTCTGATTTTTAAAATTTTTGTATCAGTTCTGATGTATGCTACGATTTCTGATTATGGGTTAAGGGACCACCGTGAACTTTTGTTTACTAAAGTCCTGAACTTCCCTTACTCGACTTTTACTCAGATTTTTTGATAGCATTCCATACCCATTTACTTGTTTACTTCTTTAGCCAGACGTTGAGCCGTGGTGAAATCACTACGGTTGGTATTGCTTTTGATGTAAGACTATGGAATAGAAACTAAGAAACGAGATTTATGAACAACTGACGGAAATATGTGGCGGCTATTTGTGATGGAAGGTGTAGGGGAGGAGAAATTTGACTGGCAGACATCTGTAAACGTGCCCATTGAGTTCCTAGGCAAAGAATGTGGGAGCATCAAAGCAAGTATTTGAAGGAAATGTAAAGCATCGCATCTTCACTCTAAATGGGAGCGTGACAACATTAAGTGAAAGGTGATTGTGCTCGCCTTCTGCCCGACTTTGAACAAGAACGATAATTAGAGCATAACAGCTTCAGTGCATGGAATGCAACCAAAGGTTTTACCCAATTGTTTCAAAGAACAATTGTTTCAACGAAAACCGGAAAATAACCAGAAAAACCAGAAAGCCTAAAAACCACTGATAGAACACATATTCACGACAATAACTCCCTCGAAATTCACCACAATAACTCACCGGATTAATAATTCAGTAGACTGATTTCTCCAAGAAAAAACTCACCTCACGGCTACTTCTTACTCCATCAATGTAGATGTATCAAGGATTCAGTGACCTATTGTTCAAATTCCGAAGTCTGAAGGGAAAGCCGCTCTAATGCAAAAAACACCCTAGTAGGAACTAGGGCTAGTGTGTAACAAATTCAAGCATCGCATCTTCACTCTAAATGGGAGCGTGACAAGCTTAAGTGAGAGGTAATTGTGCTCGCCTTCTGCCCGACTATGAACAAGAACGATAATTAGAGCATAACAGCTTAAGTAAGAAATGATCAAAAAGAATAATTAAAAGAAGAAATAAAGAAGAAAACCAAACATGAAAAACGAACTAGACAACCAATACCAAAAAAGTAGTGAAAAGCTGACGGGGCGAATCTATCCAAGTGAAACCCCACGCGAATCACCCTGGTCAGTCTACAGGAACGAAAATTCAGTCCGGCACTCGGCTCTTACAGTAATCCGGCACGTGTTAATGCGCAAATTTTTACCCGTCACATATACGACGCGTTGAAAAGGGGCTTTGGGCAAGGACACGGGGGTGGGT